CGTATCCGGTCACATGGGCGGCAAGCCACTCCCAACCGGTCACATGGGTGACAAGCCATTCCCACAAAGGAGGCCACACCCACAGAGTAGGTTCGAACAATTTTTGAAACCCACCACTGGACTAGACTAAAAAAATCAAAGTAGTGTAGACTAATGCTATTTTTATTATAAAGTTATAGTAACAGAATCTTGCAAGTTTGAATGAACCTCTCCCTTCCCTCCTTTATGTTTATATAAAATAAGGAGGAGCTTGTATGAGACCTCTACAGTCCTGTCCCAGATTCAGTTTTCTTTCATTTGGCTGTTGCATTGACAGCAGTTCTTCCTCCTGTCCCTCAAGGCCATTCCCTTTACCCTCTACAGAAACAGGAGTGACCAAGTATTTCTACTCTTGCTTATGAGATTCCCACTCAACACATTAAATGACGCAACCTTTCTCCTTCCTCTGCTGAATGGTAGATCAATAAATGACATTTTCCAATACATCAGCCTCTGGTCGATAGCTTGATTCCCACAGCAAAGCAATTTCACAAATAAACCAGGTTCACCTGTGTATAATATGAAATCTCTTAGGAATCATTTTACAATACCTCATTTTTTTCTCATACGGTTTGATGAAAGGAGATCCTCTCATGGTCTGCGTTTTGACTATGTGGTCATCTAGCAACATTTGAATGTCATCTACAGCCGATAAAATATAAGTCCCCGTTTCTCTGTAAGGAAGGAGAATAAATTCCATGCCGTCCCATTCTGAAATCATTTTCACCATGGCCTTCTCAAGGGAATGTTCTTTGCTGGCTGTTTCACTAATGGTTTCAAATTTTTCTAAATATTGCTCGAGATGCATATCGATGTAAGAAGAGACAGTTGAATCTTCAGAAGGTTTCAGAGGGTACCCGACTATATTTGACATGGCCTCCCAATGCCGATCTTGCAAACCAGGATTGCAGATTACTTGAATCAATGGAATGTGTTCCTTAAATTCTTCCACCTTTGTCTTGATCCTTGTTGTTAGAAATAAAGCATTTGGAGAGTCATGGAAGGTTCTTTCTAACTTATACAGTGCTCGCCAGGTGTTTCCCGTGTCTTGATCAACTTGGTCTGGATTCACTTTAGTGAATATTCCATCCATCCAGTTCCTATATTTGGTATTGAAGTCCACTGTCATTTCATAAAGCTGAAGGTACGGCTTCAAAGTATCTTGAATTTTTTTCCGCTGAGGGTACTGAGATGTCAGCCATCCGTAGGCCTCCTCTTCCGCATTAAACTGATCAATCTACAGAAATCACAAGGATTTTTATTAAGAAATAAACACATCATTGCTTTATTACAAATTTTAATCGGCCAAAGGACACCTTATGATTTTAGATCGGATTTTTCTGATTGACCTTGTAGTCCTTAAAGGCAGAAGTACTAGAGTGAGGTCAGTGTAACATGGAGCTATATCTAAAGACTTACCCTGTCAAACTTTTTTGTAATATGACTGAAGAAGGTTACAGGAAGAAATAGAATCTGAGAATATATACCGAAGGCGTTACTAATAAGTGTATTTAACAGATTAACAGAGTTGGAAGGGACCTTGTAGGTCNCAGTTTGGCACACCGGATGTAAAATTAACATCAGGTTCACCGGAACCAGTCTGAACCAGCTGAATCCCACCCCTGGGCCTTGTTCTATCATTCAGTTGGCGTTTGTTTTGAGTTTCTTTCCAGGCAAGATCATTTTTAAAAATGTTTATTTCCACTTAAAACATCCTTTTAAACGTCTATATAAAAATGCCTTGACATCTTGATATACTTTTTTTTCCCCCACTATGGAATTTTTGCACGCCTGTATATCTCCTGTGCATTTTGCCTAAGGCACTGCACACGTTTTTGAAAGCAGTTCTTCCTTTTTACACCTACAGATTTGCATTATAAAGTGGGAACGAGGAAAGGTTTGGCCTTTATGAATGTTTGGGTTTACACTTGCATTTGGGAGACACAAATCAGTATATATGTCAAAATATGAACTGAGCAAATATCTCCGCCAGACTATGATCTCCAGTGAGGAGGAAAATGTTTTTCAAAGAAAGCCACGTTAGCACCCCCAGGTGGCAACTTCCTGCATCTAGGTTGGGTTTACCTCAAATCACTGTTATACCCTGTCAAAATTTCATATGGAAACTTGGCATTTGGCTAAATCATTTCTTCCTATTTAGCCACTTGGACTATTCTACCAATGTTTATCATCTACAGCCTTGATGAAATTTGAAGATTAAATGAGACTGACGTGAATTATGGCTTTTTCCAAATAGTTAAACTGGGCCGAAGATAGAAAAATAATTGCTCTGGTATGCCATGATTAGCTGTTCCATAAAGAAGCTATAAATTGCCCTATGCTCTCATCCTTAGGGCTTTTTCTTAATACAATGTCTTCGATTTTTCTTCCCCATGCAGAAAAAGATCTCTCCTGTAAACCATTTGTTTATCAAAAATAGCAATGAAATCAAAGAACAATTTCACCCTCATTGATTTGAGCCACACGGGGGGAAAAAATTATTCAAATCTAGGGTAAAATGCAGGGCAATCCAAATATGTGTTTACAATTTCTACCTGTCACTGTAAACCACAACTGCAAGTCAAAAAAAAATCAACACATGGCCCCGATATTTAATTTATGCTGAGAAGGGATATACAGTACCTATAAAAATCAAATCATAATTTCTAAACTTATACTGCCATCTTCTGGGGAGAAATATGAAAGTGCTTTTTGTTCATCAGAAAATGTCAGAAGTAGTAACTGGTAGAGACAACTACATGAATACTCAACAAAAGCACTAGACTTCTATACTTCTCAGCCAACCATGTGCACCCATTTGAAAATAAGTCATTTGGGATTACTTCAAAGGAAGCAGCACAGTATGGTGACTAATAGTCTAATCCTTACATATCCATCCAATTCAATTCAGTGACTTAGTCTAAGACAGTCATATGTGCTATTTTAAAAAAGGACCAATTCTCTATTCGAAGATGTCAGGAGGACAATTCTTTGGTTATACTTCATTTGAAGATTTCAAACAATTTGTTATAGTATTTTTTTTTGTCTGTTTCTTATTCTCAGATTGCAGGAAATCATGCCACCATTTTCAGCAGTTGTGTTTGGAAGGAAAAGCAATGGCCACAAAACACGGATAGTCTTTCATCAGATAATGGTTAAGGTTTAAGGATAATGAAGCCTAATAAAGAAAAGCAGGGGTAACAGAATTGTGAGTGGAATGACAAATAGGTTTGAGTTGAGTTGAGTTGAGTTTATTGGTCTTGTATGCCGCCCACTCCC